CCTATGATTTAAGTATGCAGCATGTGGTTAAAGGTAAGCTAAGGAGTCCAAGAAAGGGAAACCAAACTTAGGCACGAATTGGATCAGTGACCACTGTCATATGCCACAATAATCTAGTGAGTAGTCCTTACTCCTTACTCTTACTAATCCATCTTCTGATTAGAGTACCTGATCCAGTTTAGGTACTTTACCCATTTTGTTATCCTTTTTTTGTAATTTTAAATAAGTAAAAATGTGACTGTCACTTAGATACCTGTATTCAGAAATTTCTGGAGTAAAAACAAGGGTAAGAGCTGTCTTATGAGCTAAACAATGGTTAACTGGTTACCATTTCAAAAAGCAATAACCCGATCACCAACACATGCACACACTTTGAGAATAAAAAGATTGTTCATTTCAGGAACTGTCTGGAAGCAGGAAGTGACTAGGGGCAAGGACATAGCTACTCTGGTTCGGGTCCGTGTGTAGCTTATTCAAATAGTTTGACAAGAAAAAACGGTGGGGGGTAGAAATTAGTAAAGGGGGTCAAATATATGGTGATGGAAGATTTGACTTTGGGTAGTGAACACACAAAGCAAGGTACAGATGATGTATTCCAGAACTGAACACTTAAAACCTCTATAATTTTATTAACCAATGTCGCCCCAACAAATTTAATTTAAAAAAGAAAAAATAGCATTTTTTCAAGTATGAAAATGTGTTTTTTAAAGTGTGTTTTTAAATGTGTTAGTTTTATGTACAAAATAATTTAGGTAATGCAGAGACTGATAAAGCACTAATATGCATTCTGAGCATTTTAAAACAGGTTTGAATAAATAAATTAAAATATAACAGTTCAAAAAGCTGCTGACTCTTGCATTAACTTAACCAATAGAGAAATTAAGTCAGCACCTGAGTCAATTCTTGAAACAAAAATCTTTAGTTCACTGAAGATACCACAAGATACTGGTTTCAAAAACCACTAAACAGTCTATGGCTATGCCATCCTGAACAAGTCCAATCCTGTCTGATCTCAGAAGCTAAGCAGGGTCAGGCCTGGTTAGTACTTGGATGGGAGACCACCTCAGAAGACCAGGTGCTGCAGGCATAAAAAATAAGGGATTGTAAACTGACAAGGTCCTTGCAATCTGTGAGGTCAACCAAGGGTTGCCTTGCCTAGAAAAGAAACTGCTAAACAGGTACCACACACAGAGGGACTTCACTTTTAAAAGGAGTTTGAAAGCTTTAATAACACATATGCTCAAAAGTGTAAGGGATAAATGTTAACACCTCATAGACCAGCAATTTGTTCTTCTGTACTGACAGATCATCTGTGCATAGCTAAACTACCTTTCCCTTGTTGCTCCGCTTCAGTGAAATAAAACCTATATAATAGTAAAATTCAATTCCTTAGGACACTAGAATTGATAAAATTAAGGCTAAAAATAAGAAGAACTATCATAATTATTAATTTAAATAACAACTGTGCTGAAGACAAAAACAATGGTCAAGCAAAAGTGGAACTTTGGCTTTTTAATTTCCTAAGTTCTCAGTAATCTAACAACAAATTAAAGCTATAAATATGCAAAATTACTCTTCACTCCTGTCTCTTGATAAAGAGACATAAAACAGAAAAGATTCAAATTTTCCTTTTTAAGTGTTTATGAAAGACATAACATTAACTGCATTGTAAATTATTTCATAAATGAATCAAAATAGCTTCAATGGTTTTAATTAAAATATTTTTATGAATGAATGAGAACTATAACATCTATAAAAAGAACACCAAATTCAATGTCTGCTCTTATCACTCCCATGTTCATACACTTCCAAAGAAAACCACTTGATTAAAGTCTTCATATAAAACATCAATTTGTCACTGCATTAAGTGCTGATTCATTGAAGAAAAGTTAATTAGAAAATTCTCAGTAATCTCTCTCATCTCTGCATTTAATCACCCCAATTTTTTTAGGCAAAAAGTCACAAAATCAAATCATAACATCTTCCCAGCAAATATATTCTCTCTTCAGCCTATTCTCTTCATCTATACTTCCATCACACCAGGAGGTAGAGTATAAAGACAGTACACCTTCATTTTACGTGCAATCTCTCCCTCCACCCTAATCATGTGAAATAAACTCTCACTTTGAAAATAATGTGATAAGAAATGAAGCCCACACAATCACTTGAAACTGAATTTCTAAGAAAATGTTCTTTAACTCATTTGCCTACTTATAAGGGAAATATTACTTTATTTTTTACTCCAAGTAAACCATGTCTATGCTTTTTTAAAAGAATCAGAACTTGCACAAAAACATGAAAAACACCAACATATTCTTCCCAAGACATCTCTCTCCAGATCATTTTCTATCCAGATTTTTGCTTTCAAAAATCACTGATTTACCAATAAATTGTTCATACATTCACAGGGTTTACTCTGGATAGACTAGACCAGCAAGATCTACCTGAAGAAGGGAAATTTAAGCTATGCCTAAAGTGAGGAGCTAGTCAGGGTGAACCTCTGAGACAAAAGCATTCTAGCCCAAGGGAACAGCATAGGAAAAAACATCAGACAGGACTTATGAAGATAGATATATGGCTGGAGCAGGGAGCCATGGGAGAGTGATGAGCAAAAAGAGAAATTTCTTGATTAGCATTTGAAACTGGTCACAAAAATTAGCCCTTCTTTAGGTTGTTTTTAAAGACTCAGAAAAATAGCAAGCTAACTCCACACCAAAAAATTCAAATAAAAGCCAAAAAAAAAAAGTTACCCAAATTAAGTATTATCATTATAATAAAGATTAAATATCTGATTCCTTCCTGAGAATTACAGCAAGCAAGAGACTACAGCACTTCGCACCTCCTAAAACATTCTCACCATTTAAATATCCTTCTAAATTTCCACAAAGGTGCTCAGAATTTACTTTACAGTTTCTGGTGAAGAATAATCTCCATGCTTTCAAATGCTTTTGCTGTAAATACCCGGAGGCACTTTTGCTATAATAGCAGACTCTTAGTCTTCATATTAAAGGCCACAAACAAAGCACTCACAGAAAATTAAACACAGAATTCACTTCTGTATACTGGCCTAAAAGAGATGAATTTCTGGGTAGAGGGTAATACTTGATTTATGACCTTACATAAAGACTGATAACAAGGTGGTTTTATGTTTGCGGTCTGGAAGTTGGCTCATCTAGTATTTCATCAATGTTCTTTATTCTCAGGTCAAGGCCATTTGTCCAAAGGTTTCATTAATAAAGAATTTATACGTGTGCTTGAAAGAGCACATATTACAAGTCATTTGATAACCTATTTTTTAAAAAGTCATTTACTTAAAAGAGTAATATACAATCCAGAGCCCAGCAGTTAGTTTTATCTTCTAATTCTGCAACCTGTGGCAGATGGTTTTCTTGGCGCCTGTGACCCTGGCATTTTGCCCATGTTTGCATAGACGGACAGGAGTTTGAGGCTGGAGGGAGCATTTCTTTTATCTGAGGTTACAGGTCATGCAGGGCCTGCTCCTCACTTGCGTGTATGTGGTTAATTCCCCAGTCCAATCCAAGTACATCCACACACAGAGCCTGTCTAAGCATGAAGGCATGGCATGCCATCTCAGTAGTAGTACATGACCTCTGTTCCATAAACAGTGCTAACAAACTAGTGGAAATTGTGATCCTATCTTTAGATTCTTTTTCAACCTCTCCTTCCCAATATGCTTTGAAATGCTCTTTAAATAAAGTCAATTTTGTTCGGCAATATTCCTTTGAGCCAAACGGATCACAAAATCAGAACTGAAAATCCTAACTACAGTTAAGGTTAAAAAAAGAAAATAAACTATTTGACCTGGTACAAAGGTATATGTGACATAACAAAGTTTAAATAATGGTATTATTTGGTGTTAGGAAATGAGCTGCTAAACAAATCTCACACCCTAAAAACTTTTCAAATATTTTTGAAAGATAACATGCCATTCCTTCAGTGAGTTATTTAGCTTCCTTCAATCACCCTGTATTTAGCCAGGTGTGCTAGATACTTAGAAAACAAAGATGCATAGAACACTTTGCCTGCATTACATAGTTCCACAGAAATAATGCCAACATAGCCTGGAAGCAAAAATCTTTGTCTCAAAAAGCCAAAGACCTATGACTTGCACTGCAGTGCTCCAAAAGGGTCACAGACCTCGGTGCGGGAACTGAGGTGCTAGCTAGCGTTAGCAGCCGGCCAAGTGCACCTGGAAATTGCAGTCTGAAAAGGGCTGCCAACAGTCACCTACACCAACTCGACCCCGCCCCCGCAAGTCCTCTTTATAAACAAACAGAGGGTTTTTAAAGGGAACTGTCCAAGGTTACCACCTAATATGGAGGAATACTTTGGTGTGGGATAACAATAAAATAAAATTGTATACTCTCTATATTTACAGAGTATTGCTATACAACATCTTAATGTTGATGAAGTGTCAACCAAGGCACATAAAACATAAGATAAAACCTCTTTCTCAACAGGGTTAAAATGTCAAGAAAAAACTGACCGAAAGAGGGAAATCTCTAACTTCCCAAAGCAGTAACCCCCTAGAAAGGTACTGGAACCAGCGGAAGTTCCATATCCAGGACAGAAGTATTTAAATGCACCCCCCCACACACACACACACACAAGTTTGAACAGCCATCTGACTATCCTACGGTGGTCGGAAACTTCCCTAAACTACAAAAGGCAGCCAGACACCCTAAAATCTCCGCCTTCAGCCAACCCCAGGTGCCCTCATGCCAGGCTGTGGCTTCCTCCCCGGGCCTTGCCTCCCCCATCTCACTCTTTTCCTGGACACTCACTAGCCTGCCTCGGCTTCCAATATCGGCCGGGGGTTCTGGGGACCTCACGGCAGCCGTGCTGGTCCGAGAGCCTCGGCCTCAGGCCCGCCCCCACAAGGCCCGGCGCCGGCGCGCCTCTCCTCTCGGGCCGGGCCGCGACCCCCGGCCGCCCAGGGACCCGGCCCCCGCCCTCGCCGCCGACCCGCCAGCCCTCACCTCCTCCGCGTGCTTGCGCAGCGCCTTCTCCCGCTCGTACTGGGTGATGAGCTGCTCGTTGTCGTCCCGCAGCAGCTCCAGCTCCACCTGGTGCTCCTGGTCCTGCGCGAACACCGAGTCCAGGTTCTCCAGTACGGCCACCACCAGTGGCATCAGCTCCTTGACCACCTCTTCGTCATAGCGTCCGATCAGCCGCTCGAACTCGCGGTAAATGGAGCCAGCCAGGCCGGACACCCGCTCCGACATCACGGCCCCGGAGCCGCCGGGCTCCTCCTGGTACACCACACCGTCCTCCAGCTCCATGGTGGCGGGCGTACAGGCGGCCCCGGGTGTCACAAGCTGAGGGGGCTGCACTAGACCCGCACGGGACGGGCCCGGCTGGGGTTGGGACTGGGGTTGGGACTGGGGCTGGGCCCGGCGGGGTGG